ACACCAATATTAACCCTAACCCCTAACCCATACCCAAACCCAAACCCTAACCTTAACCCAAACCCTAACCATAAACCCAACCCTAACCCAAACCCTAACCCTAAACCCCTAATCCTAACACTAAACCCCTAACCCTAAACCCCTAATCCTAAACCCTAACCCCCTAACCCTAACCCCCTAACCCTAACCCCCTAACCCTAACACCTATACCTAATCTGAACCCTAACACCTAACCCCTACCCTTAACCCCTAACCCTTAACCCTAACCCTATACGAAACCCTAACCCAAACTCGGACCCTAACCCTAAACCTAACACCTAAACCCTAACAGTAACCCAAACCCTAACCCCTAACCCTAACCCCTAATCGTAACTCTAAGCCCCAAGCATAACCCCAAGCCATAATCCTAATCCTAACCCTAACCCTAAACACTAACCCTAGCCCGTACAGCTAACCCCTAACCCTAATGCCCTAATCCTAATCCTAACCCTACCTTAACCCCCCAACCCTAACCCTAACCCTGAACCCTATCCCTGACTTGAACTGTAATCCTATCCCTAACATGAACACCTTACTCTAAACCTAACCCTGACACTAATGACCCTAACCCTGACACCTAACCCTAAGCCTAACCCTAAGCTTAACCCTAACCTTTACCGTAACCCCTAATGCTAAACATAATCCTAATCCTGACCCCTAACCCTGACCCTAACACCAAACCCCTAACATGAACACTCACCCTAACCCATAAACCTAACCCTAACCCATAAACATAACCCTAACTCTATGCCCTAACATTAAACCTTAACCTTAACCCTAAAACCCTAACCCCCTAACCTTAATCCCTAAACCTAAGCCCTAACCCTAACTGCTAACCCCAACCCTAACCACTTACTTACCCTAACCCTTACAATAACCCTTAATGACCCTAAACTGAACCATAACCCTAACCCCTAAACCTAACCGTAAGCCTAGCCCCCTAACTCTAACCCTAACCCTAGCCTTAACCCCTAACCCTAACCCATAACCCTAATCACTAACCCTAAACCATAACCCTAACCCCAAGTCTAACCCTAACCCTCAGCCAGCCCCGTTGTGTGGGTATTGGCCTTGGCCTCTGAAAGGGGCTTGAAGTGATGACTGGCTGTGGCCTTGGAGTAGCCGTTACTGCTGGGCGCAGTCCCATCTCTTCCAAAATCCACTCGTAGAAGTGCTGAGCAGAGGTGTAGATCCCAGGCCGTTTGGCTCGTGCACAGCCTTTCCCCACGGTCATCAATCCAACC